TTTTTTTTTTTTTGTACCGGGAATCAAACTCAGGACTTTGCACTTGCCAGGCAGGTGCTTCTGCTGCTTCCTCCCAGCCCTTAGTTTACTGGAAGAATTATTTTGTGTGTGTGTGTGTGTGTGTGTGCACGCAATTTTTGACATTGCTGCAAACAGTAATAGCAGTCACAATTACCTCCTTATCTTCACCATCAGGCCCTGCCTGTACTACACTGCCCAGAGAACCAAGACCTTTGCACTTGGTATTTCTTTTTTTTTTTTGCACTTGGTATTTACATTAACAGAAACCTACCTTTGCATCCTATATATTCATTCTTTAAATCTTCACTAAAACCTCGCTAGTGTAGGAAATCCCCAGGATCTGTATCCTTATGCCACCTTCGTTATACTTAGTTTTCTGTGTTAGTCTTTGTCTGTCTGTGTCCCATATTCTTTAATGCCTGTGAATGCGGTAAGTGCTAGAAACCTGTCCCGTTCTCCTCAGCATCTAGCTGAGAAACTTTCTTTTGGCATGCAAGAATGATCTTATTTAGCCTAAGAGCTTGTGAGGTTGGTGTCACTGTGCTCCTTTTACACGAGACAGGCACTGAGAGTGACTCTCCTGGGGTCCCAAGTGGGCAGCACTAGAATCTGGACCCAGTCACTTTGGCATCAGGATCTCAACTTCCACATCACCTGCTGTTTCTCATTCCAGGCTCTTGTGCTGTGAAGAAGCTTTAAAGTGCTGCCTGTTAACCAGTAATCCTGACCCACAGGACCTAGAAAAAGACTGTTAGGTTTGGAAGGTGGTCTTGTCCTGCTCAGCAACCTCCTGCACCGTGGGCCTTCTCCATGGCATGCCGGCTGCCGCTCCGTCTGCTGACATGGGACGTGAAGGACACACTGCTCAGGCTCCGCCGCCCCGTAGGGGAGGAGTATGCTGCTAAGGCCCAGGCCCATGGGCTGGAGGTGGAGGCCACAGCCCTGGGACAAGCCTTTGGGCAAGTGTACAAGGCTCAGAACCACAGGTTCCCTACCTATGGCCTGAGTCGTGGCCTTACCTCCCACCAGTGGTGGCAGGATGTGGTCCTACAGACCTTCCACCTGGCAGGTGTCCAGGACACCCAGGCAGTAGCTGCCATTGCTGACGAGCTCTACAGGGACTTCAGCAGCCCCTGCACCTGGCAGGTGTTAGAGGGGGCTGAGAGCACCCTGAGGAGCTGCCGAAAGCGGGGTCTGCAGCTGGCAGTGATCTCAAACTTTGACCGCCGGCTAGAAAATATCCTGGTGGGTCTGGGCCTACGGGAACATTTCGACTTTGTATTGACTTCCGAGGCTGCTGGCTGGCCCAAGCCAGACCCCCGCATTTTCCTCAAGGCCCTGAAGCTTGCTCACGCAGAACCAGCAACAGCAGCCCATATTGGGGACAATTACCGCTGTGATTACCAGGGAGCGCGGGCTGTGGGCATGCACAGTTTTCTGGTGGCTGGTCCAGAGCCTCTGGACCCCACGATCAGGGATTCTGTACCTGAAGAACATATTCTCCCCTCACTCTCCCATCTCCTGCCTGCCCTGGACCGGGGTTTAGCCCCTGGGCTGTGAGTGGGGAGGAAGTTCGCTGGGCCTAAACACTGAAGATAGGAGGCCACTTCTCTCTCCCAGATGTGGACTGGGCTTCTCCCTATGCAGCCGAGTAACTTGTTCCCACTATAAAGAACACTCCCTACAGGCCTCTGAGCTCACCTATTCACCCTTTCCTGCCATGAGCCTCCCTCCCCTTCACCCATGTTCACTTTTGAGGGCTAGAGTGCTTACCTAGCATGAGTGAGAACCTGAGTTTGAACACTAGTAGTGGAAAACAAAAGAAAAAAGCATTTTTGACCTTTTAGTAGCATTGCCACTGGGATTCTGAAACCCCTCTATCAAAATAAAAAACCTAGAGGGGTTGAACCATGAGTTGGAAGGCCTCTCATTGAGCCAGGGACACCCTCTGACGTCAGAGCTTAGTTTGACAGTCCAGATGCTAAGCTCGGAGTAGGGACACCACCTATTACCACACTGTCGTCTAAAAGGGAAGGAACTCTGCTGTCAGCTGTGTTTGGTAAGCTGCTTATCTGCCATCTCTAACCCTCAGAGCTCCCTAGTGGCTAGAGGTGGTATGTCTCCAATTTACAAATGGTATGTACCCTGCCTGCGGTCCAGCATGTGAGGCAACAAGAGCTCCAGTTTACGCGTGTCTGACTCGAGAGCCATTGACTTGACCTTTTGGTTTCAAGTAGAGAGGGACCCAGTCACCTGAGACAAAGCACTGGAGACCTTAGGGGAATAGAAACAGTGCCCTAGAGGCAGCCCAGTTATAGGGATGTTTAGGGATAGGAGATGCGAGGACGAGCTCAGGACTGTGGGGGCTGAAACAGCAAATTGGGTTCTTAAAGTTTCACTTGTTCTCTTATCTCAGCTATGTACTTGTTTACTGAAGGGCCTTGCTCTGCGTCAGGGACAGGGGATAGTTAAAAGCATAGAGGTAGGTGTGGTGGCCCACACCTGTACTTCCAGCTCTCTGAGAGGCTGAGGTGGGAGAATCAAAAGTTCCCGTCCAGCCTGGGTAACAGTTACTTGGACAGAGCCCATCTAAAAATTCTACACTGACTGTAGAAGGCTCTGGGTTCAAGTTCTCGGCACAAAATTTAAAAAAGGCACAGTGACAACACAAATGTGATACACTAAAAAAAAAAATGTGGTACACTATTTTGATGGCAAGAGTCAGGGAAGGGTTTGGAGAAGACACTGAACTGGGCATGGGGTTGGAATGACATCTAGGGAAGGAGAAGGATGGGGCGGGTATTCCTGCAGCAGGTCTATGCACTGTGGACGCGTCTGCTGCAGGGGGTTGGTTGGAGGCGATATGGCTTGCGGGCCTTCAGGCACCAAGCAGAAAAGGTTTGGCTTTGACTTAGATATCTGAGCAGAGGCCATGCCCAGACAGAGGCAGGGAATGACAAAAATCTTTCTGTGTCTTTGTTGGGCCTGACACCAAAGCCAGATGACTTAGCAGTAATTCCTCAGTGTCAGGCAATGAAGAGGTCACGGCTGTGGCCTCAGAGCTGCAAGTGCCTCAGAGGTCATCTCAACCAAAAATATTGCCTGTTAGAGGCCTATGGACTTGATCTACCCAGTATTTCAAGTAAATGCTGAACAAACCTCACTGTCAAAAGATTTCATATAAAGGCCTGGAGGTATAGCTCAGTGGTAATATTTATTTGCCTAGCAAATAAAAGGTTTGACCCCAGCACTGAAAAAAATAAATTTCACATAAAGATTAGGATTTTTCAGCCTCTCTAAACATGTTGCTTCTGGCCATTTGAGGACCATATTCTTGCATGGCCACAAATAACTGAGGCAAAGCAGTGCTTGCCCTTGAATCTTGGGACTCTTGCTCATTGCCTACTGACCCAGCCAGCCTTCCTCTGTGACAGATCTAATAGAATAGTGGTTTTAAAACTACTTTGTGGGAGCCAGGGAGATGGCTCAGTAGAATAAGCGCTTGCCTGGCAGGCCCAAGGGCCTGAGTTCAATCCCTGGTTCCACAAAAAAAAAAATCATAAACTGCTTTGTGGGTACCAAGGAAGGTGGGGAGGGCTCTGTCTTTCATCCTGTTTGGCTCCGGGAACATATAGTTAAGGTCTCCAGGCTCTTCCTGCTGCACTGAGCTACCATCCGCTTATTTTTGAACATATACATGAGGTTAAGGAAGATGGGCCACTATACAGCATGTAACCAATTATCAACAAAGAACATGCGAGAAATCTGTAAGTCTTAAACCTTTTAATAATGTTTGTGTTCCATATTCCCTAAGGCTGGCCCTCGTAGTCCTTGGCAGGCCTCCACCTTAGGTCTGGAGGCCATGGTGGGGAGCACAACCGCAGTAGGAAGTTCCACTGTCTCAAGTGGCCACAGCTGGCCCTCAGCCTCAGCATCTGGGACAGATGCCCATTCCTGGGCTGCAGCCAGGTTACCTGGAGATAGGGTCCCCCCTCATCTTCTGAGTGCTAGGGCAGAACCTAGAGGAAGATGCAGTGTTGTCAGGCCAGAATCTTCTGGCCAGGAGCAGCCTGATAGTTCTAAATCCCTTCTGGGTTGTCTCTGTGTGCTAGAAAAAATATTTTACCTATATTAATGTCATGAAAAAGACTAAGAAGCACTGAACTGAGAGGATAAAGAAGCCTCAGCCATAACCATTTCCACACACAGGAAGCTCAGGGTAGAGGAATGAAGTGCTTCTCTAGAAACTACCCCATCTGCCCAGTCCCCTGTCTGTCTGTCTGTCTGCCTCTCTTTGCACTTGCCTAATCATTATTGCACACTCACTATGTCCCAGGCCCCATGCTGGTTGCTGGAGGGGCAGAATCATGGTGGATTTGGGAGACAAAGGGCCAGGAAGCAGCAGGTTCCCCAAAAATGGCTGGCACTGTGCCTGTGTCTGAAACAGATTCCCATTGACACCTCCATCTGCCCAGCAAGCATGGGTCCTCTCTCTGTTAGAAACACCATACACATCATTTGGGAAAAGGACACTGGGCGGACACATGGCCTGATGTGGTAGGAGGATGCAGTTGCCTTTTCGTTGGCCAGAGGTCAGTGGACAATGGAAATGGTCTTGTCGGCCACAGCAAAGACTGGGAAGAGCGGTGTGGGGAAGGCTGTGTGGCAGGTGTAGAGCACGGTGCCTGAGGCTGGGTCATAGAAGAGCAGCTCCCTCGCCTCCAAGTCCAGAAGCACACCCAGTTGGGCCGGGCTCCGTAGCAGCCCCAGGGGCTGGTGCTGCCCATTATGTGAGAAACAGAACTCCTGATCATAGCGGGAGAAGACCCAAGAGAAGGGGTTGTAGCCCAGGCGGCAGTCACTGCCAGAGCCTTTGCGGGGCAGCTGGCTTGAGGCCACACCCACTTTATAGGCACAACTGTTCTGGACATTCACCATCCAGGCATGCAGCCCGGTCTGGAAAGAGATGGAAGCCAGGGCATTAGGCCAATGGTCAAAACGCTCTGGGCCATCTGCACAGGCCTTGGTCTTCTTGGCATTGAAAGTCAAGGTCCTTCGATCATCTGACAATTGCAGGAAGGGGCTGACGGTCCTCTCATCAATTCGTACATCCTCTGTGCCTGCTGAAAAGAATTACCAGAGTTGTCCATGGCGCCTCTTCCCCAGCCCTAACTTGGTCCTACAGGGAGCAGAGGATTTCCTTGCTGTTCACTGCCAGGGAGACCTTAGATAACTGTTACTCTGTCAGCCTCAGTTTCCTCGTCTGTAAAGTGAGGATCAAATAAAACTTAATGCAGCATGGTCATGAGAACTAAATGAGGGGCTGGGGAGCTAGCTCAGTAGAGTAAGAACTTGCCTGGCAAGTGCAAGGGCCTGAGTTCAATCCCCAGTTCTGCCCCCCCCCCCAAAAAAGAACTAAATGAAATAATTCATGCAAAGTGCCTAGCATAAAGTAACTCTTCAATGAACTGTAGCCATGATAATGCTAATTATTATCATTCCAAGCTCTTCACCTATAAACTTAGATAGAAATAAGGCCCAGAGAAGAGCAATGAGTTGCCCAAGGCTCCATACCAAGTGGGTAGCAAGGTCAGCCCCACACTGATTGTGCTGCCTTCTGGCTGGACGTATCGGAGGCACTCAGAGGTGATTAATTTAGGGATTGAGCTCTTGTAGCTACGAAGCATGAGACAATGCAGTTTCCAACAGCTGAATGAATGCACTGCTAGTAAATCAGGTACATCTGATGCCATAGTCTAGTGTAAAGAAGCTATAGCTTGTTTAAAATTTTTAAGAATAATACAAGAGGGTGGTTAAAGTTGAGATAAGAGTCAGTTTACTAACTTTCCCTTTCTATGAATTGTGCAAAGACCACCACTGCAAACATGGAAGCTTCCTTTCAGCCTGGGAGAAGCCTGCTCTAAGAATCTCTGTGCAAAGTAGGAATTCTTGGAGGTATGAGACTGGCTCTGTTCACTCTCTGGCCCCAGTGTATAGCTCAGGGCCTGGCCCACAACAGGCCTGAATCTTAATAAATGAGGCAGATTCAGGCAGCTTCATCCCGGTTCAGATGCCCTCTAGTTGACTGTTAATTGTATTTTCTTAAAAAGAAGCCTGACGTTTCCAATAAATCATAAAGCGCTTCCCTAGATGGGCAGGATGGTAAGGAGAACATGATTTATAGGAACAAGATTAATCCTATACAACCACAGAGCAGGTTGGTCTGGAAATGGGAAGACCCTATTCCAGCTCATCCCCATCCAGAGCTCAGGCCCCCCAATCAGACTGCTTACAACATCACTGGTTACCTGAGCGACTATCCCAAAAGTACTGGTGCCCAGTGTGTGACCCAGCAGCAAACCCCACACAGACAGACAGACAGACAGACAGACAGACAGACAGACAGACAGATAGACAGACAGACACCCAGGGGCTCCTGATGGTTCTGGGTTCTGGCATCTCCTGACCTGAGAGGGTCCCGAGAACTGCCGTTGCCCAGAGTTGGGTCAGTAGTGGGCTCCAAGTGCACTTCTCATTAAAGTTTAACTTCTCAGATTCCTGGGGATCCAAAATGCCCTCTGCTTCTTCAGTCCTTTGTAGGGAAAAAGAAACCATTCAAAAAAGTCTTGAATCCAAAGCATGTAGACAGTCTATAGGGAGATGTGTACTTGGTGCCATGACTAGAAACCAGAGGCAGTGTGCTCTACAGAAGTGACTCCAGAGTGTCCCTCAATAAATGAGTAGTCCCAGTGGGACTAGGACCCAGGCCACTGGATTTCCTCTGTGGTAAAGTTTCTATTCCAACATCCTACCCAGAAAATACATTGTTTCATAAATCTACTGCAAAGCCTGGCACAGTGGTGCATGCTTATAGTCCTAGCATTTGAGGGATGAGGTAGAAGGAATGCCACAAATTCAAGCCAGTCTGAGCTACACAGTGATCTTAAGCCAGAACTCCATAGTGAAAGCCTGTCTCAAAAAAACTGGAACAAAACCAAAATCTACTGCAGCCATAATGTTTCCCTTGGTTTGGTCAGAAGGTACAGCTATTCCCCTGCCCTTAAAATTCAAACACCTACCTGAGCATGGTGGCACGTGCCTGTAATCCCAGCACTTGAGAGGCTGAGACAGAAGGATCATTATAAGTTCCAGAGCAGCCTGCACTACAAAGTAAGCTCACACCAGTTTGAACTGCATATCAAGACCCTGTCTCAAAAAGACCCCCACCCCCAAAAATTCAAATACCTGTGACCACTCTGGGCTCTGGCAGCTCCTGACATGAGAGGGTCCCGAGAAGTGCTGTTGCCCAGAGTTGGGTCAGTAGTGGGCTCCAAGTGCACTTGTCATTAAAGTTTAACTTTTCAGATTCCTGGGGATCATCAATCATAAAAAGGCAACTGGGGAAAATAAGATGCCCAAGAAGAGAGAACTGCCAGCTGCTGGGCTCTGAAATTACTGCTTTCCATTCAGGACCATATTTCATTTTTGCCATATCCTGGGATGTAGTGCTTATTTTGTCCAACAGGAAAGAACAGAGATTTGGAGAAGGCATTCACACAAGCTGGATTCAAGCCCTGCCTCCATGCAGAAATAGAATAGGCACCATCCCAGGTGTTTTCCTTGACCTGAAATGAAATCTCAAAAGCCTATGGTGATAGCAAACCTTTTAGAACTTTCAATGATACAAACAGCCCACTGTAGCACAAATGCCATACGTTTGCCACCACTAGTGTAGCACAAAGGGAACATCACGGAGCTTTGCTGTCTCCAACCTCGGTTCTTAAGAACTTCCCCATACCTCTAGCCATGAAGTTAATTCTGAGGTCATTCAGCTGCCCTCTCTGCCCAATGGACACTGTCTATGACTGCCTCGCCTGGGAGAAGCAAGGTGGACAGGGCCCTGACAGTGGGCTCTGGGAACAGAGCGTTCTTTGTGGTCAGGACAACAGAGGGTCTGTGGCCATGCTCTCAGAGCGTGGCAGCTCCATCTGGAGAGGGCCCAGCACAAAGGTGGGAGGAAAGGGCCAGCATTAGCAGGGCCAAGCTGTCTTCCTAGATCTGAGACCAGGTATGAGCAGTAGAGTCCACGGAGAACCCCATGGCATGGAGGAAAAAACTCACAGCCTCAGTGAGATGGAAGCGAAAGAGGGCTCCACAGGAGGCCCTAACTTGTAGCTGACTGCTCAGTCCATGCAGTGGGAACTCTTGTCTCTCTCAGGTGAGAGTGAGCCCAACCACGGATGTGAAAACCAGAGCCACCAAGGCATTTCTCAGACAAATAGAGGACTGACAGCTTTTGAACACAACTCTTTGAGAGTACACACCCTCAGCCAAGGGTTGCACAGGATTTCGGGCAGATCTTGAACTCTACTAGTAGGCTGGCAGTAGTAGAATGGACTTAGTAGTACTCAAAAAATTTTGTATGTCCTGTAGGATTGAGCAAATGAATAAATATTTTGATGGTGTTGGGAACCAGCATTCTCATTGTAAAAGAATAACTTTTGAGACTAGGCATGGTGACAGGTGCCTATAATCCCAGCTTTTGGGAGGCTGTAAAGAGGCAGATCACTACAAGTCCGATCTAGTAGTGAGACCCTGAATACCCTGTACACTCTTCCCTAAAAAATACAAAAAAATAAAAGAGAATAACTTTCAATGATACAGATACAAAATAGGGGCAGGAAAAGGAAAAACCCTGTGGAATAGACTAGAATTCAAAGTTATAATACAAACTCATGAAACAGTTATATACATCCAGCTCTGACTGTTGTCCAAATAAATATTTAGGCAGGAATTATCAATGAATGCAAATCTATTGGGTAAAATAGAAGGGACACAAGATGTACACAGAAAATATCTCCTCTCACTTCTCTTATTAATTATACAAGGGAAAATATAACTATGTAATAAGGAAACATGATAATGCCACCATTAGATACCACCTTATCCAACTGCTTAAAATTAACATGCCTGATGATGGGATATTGCCCAAGTGATATCATGCCCCCTGATATGATGGACTGAGGACTGATAAGAGATATTCTTCCCCAAAATGTATTGACTCTAATTATGAGATACTCTCATAAGGAGGAATATAACAAGCTTCACCTAGTAGAAAAGAAAGATTGAACAAGATCTAATGTGGCAAAATAGTAACAACTGATAATTCTATGTGAAGCTTACTATACTACTCTTGCAACTTTTCTGCAAGTTGGAATTTTATTTTATTATTTTATTTTATTTTGGTGGAACCAAGGATTGAACTCAGGTCCTTGCGCTTGTCAGGGAAGCACTTATTCTACTGAGCAGGAAATATTTTTTAAAAAATTAAAGATCAAAGTTCTTTTCAAAGCTCAGATCTGCTTCATATTAGGACAGACTGGATTAAAGGAAGATGATGAAGAGAAAGTAGAATGAAAAGACCAGCAGAAGTGTGGAAGAACTAAGGGGAAGCAGTAGGAGTGAGCAGGCCTACATTAAGCAAGACACCAGAGATGGAAATACACACATGAGGCCTTCATTCTGTCTCCAGCACACCAGAGAGAGAGAGAGACAGATAGACAGACAAACAGACAGACAAAGAGACAGACAGACAGAGAGAGGAAGAAAGAGGAGGAGGAAGAGGGAGGGAGGGAGGAAGTAAAATAAATGGATATGTCTATACTGTGGAATACTTCACAGGCTTTCAAAAAAAAGTAAGGAAAATCTATATTTACTAATATGGAAAGATTTCCAAGTTAGCCTATATATCTTTTTAAAGTAATTTATTTTTTTTAATTAATTAATTATTTATTTAATTATTTGTGTGTGTGTCTGTGTGGCCAGCTCAGCCCACCAGGGGGCAGGGCTGGCTGGCATGTGGTGCTGGGGGATTGAACCACAGTTGCTGTGCTTTGCTAAGCTTGTTCTAAGTAGGTTCTTTAGACCACTGAGCCATCTCACCAGCCCCTCCAAGTTAGCCTATTAAGTGGTAGAAAAAGATACAAAATTTTTGTTTAAAAATATTTTTAAAAAATATTGTTTCAAGAGGCAAAAAGATCAGCAAACAAGGCAGCCATGGTGGTACAGACCTGTAATCCCAGGGCTCAGGAGGCTGAGGCAGGATGGCCATGAGTTTTGAGTCTAGCTTAGACTACATAGTGAGTTCATGGCCAGCCTGAACTACATAGTAGGATGATGTTTCAAAGAACAAATAAAATCAGCAAACAAAATAAAACACCTCATATACTCTGATTAAACATCAAGGTCCAATATCCCACATGTATTAAAACCACTCACCTCTAGTGAATAAAACTGGGAAGGACTGGTAGAACCTCACTCTGTGTGTGTGTCTTTCTTTTTGAGAAAGGGTCTTAATATGCAGTTCAGGCTGACCTTGAACTCATTTTGTAGCCAGGCTGGTCTCAAACTTGCACTGATCTTACCTCAGGCTCCTAAGAGCTGATAGGTGTGCACAACCACGCCCAGTTTGTAGAACCTCACTTTTATCAAACTCAGCTTCCTGTGCATGCTGAGCTGCACCCCCAAGCTGATGAGTTATTTTGTTTGGCAAATTGTATTATCTTGGCCTCTTTCTTAGGCCCTGCCTCCCAGCCCTATAGGACCCAAAGTAGGACTTGGTAAATTCTTTTAGTATTGAATAATTAAAATGCAAAATATGAGTAACAATGCAGACTTACATTTCAAAGATTTTTCTATGAGAGAAAGAGAACAGAGGACACTGCACTAGAACATCTGAATCCAGGGCCCAGCTCTAGGACTTAAGCAAGTTCCTTTCTCTTTCTGAGCCTTAGCATTCTTGTGTGTAGAGGAGGGTGGCAAAACTCCTGGCCAGGGTGGTCTCATTTTGATATAGGACAATGTGCAAGAAAGCTAGTAGTGGAGAGGCTCTGATTAGCAGGATCTTCACTGCCCTTCCGGGTGGGTCTAAAGCACTGGTGCTAAGCCCAGGAACAGGAAAAGCCTGGTACCTTCTCCCAGGAACCGCAGGGCCTGAAGGTAATGGGATGGGGCGAGGCCAAGGGTTCCCAGGACTGCCCACGCAGACCCCAGAGCCATACTTACCTCTCAAAAATCTCCTGCTCTTTCTGCTGCAAGAAAACAAAACTAGGTCAGGTGTGGCACCAGAAATCCACAAGCAGTCAAGACTGAACACATTTAACTGAAGGACCTAAAATAAAAGCTCCTCCTGCTTGCTTAGGCCCTAGCACCAATTTTACTGGCTGTTCTCATGCATATTTCTGTAGCACATGCTCAGTATGAGCCACTCTGTAGCGCCTCTCCCGGGCACCTTGAGTTCTCCTCACTCCCCCTCAGGACCACCAGTCACTTATTAAACACTTCTCCCAAGAAATGTCAGCTCCTGGGTGGCTGTGACTTTCTGAATCTTCTATTGTGACTGTCCCAGTGTCTGAGACAGACTGCACACTGTGTGTGGAAGCTGGTGGCTGAATGAATGCACAATCGAAGGCAGTCACAGGAGCTGCCCTACTTGAAAATGCAGTGGGACAGCTCAGTTGTTCTACATTCTTCTGTCTCTGCCTGGCATTTTTTACTCAGATGTCACACTGTTTCCTCAAAACTGGAGACATCTGCAAATCTACATGGAAAAGCCAGGTACCGAATTTTAATCATGGCAACTTCTGATAACATTGAGAATGAGCTCTGTGTTTTCACACTGGAGCCTTTATTGGCTCCCTCAAGTTCACTGTTCCTGTGCAGCGCTTGGACATGCGTACTTCCTTATCACCTCTAAGTCACTTCGTCCAGGAAGCCTTCCCTGAGCTCCTCCCATGCCTGGATTGTGCAGTCTCTAGTTCTGAGTGATTTCCTCCACCAAAGCACATATCCTTCCTCACCCTAAATCAGTTTACACATTCGCCTCCTTCACAAGGCTGGGAGCAGCTAGCAGCTGTATCCTGTAACTCTGCCCCATAGTACAATGCTTAGCATTTAACAGGTGCTCGATAAGGAGCTCGCTATTAAAAGGATATTTCGGTCAGTTGCCAAGGGGGAAAAACCTCATAATGTGATCCCCTTTGCCTCGTGTGAAAGAAGGAAATATTAAATGATACTCGTTAATGCATAGTAAGGAAGGATTTCTTCAAGGCCCTTATGATAGGTACAGGGACCCCTGCAGCAGGGAAGAGAGAGTGGGTTCAACTCTGGGGACGGCAAGCACAACTAAGAACCTATGGCCACAGAGTAAGGAGATGGAAAACTACTAAGAGGAAGCGTCGGGGGGCCAGGGGGGTTCTGGATAAACTAACCTAACAGGATTCTTGCTGCAGACAGGCTGAGGTGATTCCCGGATACTACCCAGGGGATGGCGGCAGATGAGGAACACGATCAGATATCCAGAGTAATCAGATGCGGAAAACAAGGGGGGCCTGCTAACAGACTTGGCAGAATTCTTTTTTGCTTTTTACAAGGAACTGGAGAGAAGGGCCCAGGAGAGGGTTCAGAAGGCAGACCAAGCCAAGGAACTTCGTCACTCATTCCTGCTCCAAATTCTCCCTTCCTACCAAGACACATGCTCCATGTCCTCCAATCTGGGAGGCTGGCCACTGGCCATGCCCTCAGCTGGGCCTGACTTACAATCAGCTGGTAGTCATCCAGATGAGTAAGCATGTCCACCAGGCTGGTGCGGATGGTGTTGAGCTTCTGCAGTGCCTCGGCCCAGTGTACCCGCTGTGTCAGGATGCTCTGGTGGGCCCGCTCCTCCTCGCCGTGCACCTGTTCCAGCAGCCGCTGCTCCTCGCTCTCACAAAGACTCCTCACCACACTCAACCGCTGGATAACCAGTTCCCTCGCAGCGCTGGCCATACTCTGACAGAGGATGAAATGAGGGGTTGGGTTCTGGCAAAACCCTGGGCAGGATTAGGAGGGTTTGGGCTGGGCAGAGAGTAATGGAAATATCTGCGATGAGAATAGTAAGGGGAAGAACAGTAGCCATAGCATTTACTTTGACAGACCAACAGGGAGACTTCCCAAATACGGTTTACAGTGAAGAAATTTGAGATCCAAACAGCCAGGCTAGATCTCAGGAAGACAAGATCACAAAATGGAGATCAACTACAATCACCTGATTTCTTCACATTTCAACCTCACATTCAGAAATGCTTAGGCCAAGAGCTCAGGGTCAGAGAATTATAGGAACTGGCTGAAAAGTCACCCCCATCAACCATCTCCATAACTACAGTGTCCTGGTTGATACTTCTCCACATCTAAGGACAGAAACGCATTACTAGGCACGCAACCCAGATGCGCTCCTCACCACCGCAGGTTTGCCCCGCGTCTGCTGCGGCTTTGAGCTAAGGTTTCAATAGACCTCACCATGATGCTCTTGCAATGGAACACGCCATGGAAACCATGATGTTTACACTTCACAAATTTGCTGGGGACAAATGCTACTTAACAAAGGAGGACCTGGGAGTACTCATGAAAAAATAGTTCCCTGGATTTTTTTTTTTTTTTTTTTTCAGAACTGGGGATTGAACTCAGGCCCTTGTGCTTGCCAGGGAAGCACTTATTCCATTAAGCCATCTCCTTGGCCCCTCTCTGGATTTTTAAAAAATCAAAAGACCCTCTGGCTCTGGACAAAATCACGAAGGACCTGGACCAGTGCCGAGATGGCAAAGTGGGCTTCCAGAGCTTGTTTTCGCTAACTGCAGGCCGCACCATTGCATGCAATGATTACTTTGTAGTACACATGAAGCAGAAGGCAAAGAAGCAGGCAGACATGAACATTCACTCCTGCCCTGCTGAGAGTTCTCCCAAGGCCATGTAAGGAATCTGCCCCTCAGTTGCCCCTTGTATAAAGACATCATGAGCAGATCAGGACCCTTAGAAAATGTACAAGTAGCATCCAGCTCTCACTGAACAGAGTGGAAGGTTCATTAAATGCTACATAAGCTTTTGATTTTTGTATTTGCACCCTCTTGCCCTCAATAAAGTCTTTTTTTAGTTCCAAATCTGAAAAAGAAAAGAAAAAGAAAGAAAGAAATGCATTATTTCCTAAGGCTGGCTGCTCCAACAATTCTGTATTAGAATTTTTATTTGCCACAGAGAGGGCCTGAGATCATCTCAGCCAGTGAAGTTAATGAGCAACTTTTCCTAATTCCTAGCACAGTGTATGTCACACAGTAGGCATCCCAGATAGTGACTGGATGACTGAATGGAAAATTTTTTCCTGGCTTACTGAAAAAATCCCTTGGGAGCACTGACATACAAAATCAGTGGCATGCATGGGATCAGAACCCAGTTCCCTTGATTCTCAGCCCAACACTGTTCCCTTCTAGCAGCTGCCTCCTGGTAACCAGTCCTCCCCAAAGGCATGCATTGCATCAGCACCTGCCCTTGTACTCTTGCCCAGCAAGTAATAGCAAAGCTGCCTCTTCAGCTCAGAGTCAGAGAGAACCAACCACTTTCCCCAAGTCTGGTCCCTAAAGACCTGCTTTGCACAGTATAGGGAGAAATTATCCATTTGACAGAAAAAAAAAAAAAATAAGGCTCATTGTTTGCACGACGACGGGGAGGCTTAAAGAGAGGCTAAACAAATGACAAGTGAATCTAGTTGGGTCCAAAGCACTGGCTTCTCCCTCCTGGGTTACTGTATCAGCTTCTTACTGGGTCTCCCTGTCTTTTACCATGCTATCTAGAGTCACTTCCCAACCTAGCAGCCAGTGTGTTCCTTTTTCATCTTAAATCACAGCATCTTACTCTGCTCACAAATTTCTAATGACCTCCCATCAGACCCAGAGAGAACGACGATCTTTATACGGCCAGCGAGGACATGACCCAGCTCCACCTTGCACACTGCCGCTCCTACCCACCCTCTGCCATCTCATCCAGAAGCTCTGCTTAGTATCACAGGCTCCTTGTCATTCTTCCCACATACCAGCTATACTCCCACCTCGGGCTTTTGCACTTGCCATTCCCTTCTTCTAGAAAACTCTTCCCACATAGGTGTGGGCCACTCTGCTCCTTTGTAGGTTTTGTACAAGTGCCAAGCTTCTAAACGAGGTCATTATTGAAGACCCTTGTTGCAATCCCACCTATCAACCCATGCTGTCTTACTCCTGTTTTATATTCCCCATAGCTCATGTCAACATCTGACATAGCATATATTTGATTTGACAAAAATGAAGGCTTCATGAAAACAGGAATTTTCGAATGGTTTGTCCACTGTAGAATGCCTAGCACACAGGATAACTGTGTCTGACACATGGTAGGCACCCAATAAGGATCTGTTAAATAAATAATTGGTGAAATGTTGCAAGTTTCCCCCTTAAAGTCGGGGTTTGCTACTGTAGCTTCTAACCAGCCTTGTATTGAGGTGCAGTAAGTACCCATGTAGTAAGATTAAGAAAATAAAATGATAAGGGGAGAGGAATCACCATGCAAACTCAAGCAAACATGAGCATGGACTAGCTGTTTGATACTTAGCAACTTTCTAGCTCCTGATTCTAATTCCCTGTAGGTTCTGCCATCCCTCTGTATCCTGCCAGGAAATTTCCTGGTTTGTTTATGCAAGTTCAACTGCTCTCTCTGTGCAATTTAAAGGGCCTTGACTGAGGCAGGGCCAAAGTCTGTTCCATGTACTACAGGGGTAGGAGGCGAGAAACATGCATAGCCCATCCTGAAGGGCTGAAGAGGAAATATAGTGGAAGCAATGTGTCCACTAACTAGAGGACCACCAATGGGATACAGAAGAAGGAGTACTGACACAGGTCTTAGAAGATCCAGGACATAGAACTGACAGTGCCAGGAGGCAGTGTGACCTTGGGCAAGTCAATGAACCATCCTGGGACCCATTTCTCTGTTTGTGAATAGGGATCTGCTGCCATCTACTGCATAAGATTGTCATAAGGAATACTCAGTAAGTCCCTAAGTAGTTTTATAATTCTGGGATAGAGCCCAAACTAACTAGGTGGTAAAACTATGCTACGCTTCTTGATCCTCTATCCCCAAGATACCTACCAAAGTCATCATTTAGCAGAGTCTCTGCACTAGGAACAACTCCACTCTGTCCAGATAGTAGAATTAAGGCTCAGAGAGATGGCAAATCCTGGACATCCTTTGCTAATAGCACCACGAGACTGTGAGGTTGGAAAGGGACCCTCAACTTGACCAAGTCCCTAGGGCTAGGGTCTTATGCAGCATGGGACACAGCATAGAGAGGAAAGGGGAAGCATTACCACTGTTCGTTGGTTCTTGCCCAGTAGGACCTCAGCCACGTACTTGGCGATGCCTGCGCTCTGTAACTGCAGCCTTTCACACTGGTCCACAATCTTGTTCTGCAACACAAACAATGCTCATGGCATCTTTACATTCTTCATTCCACTGATTTTCCCCTTTTATCCCAGACCTCGCCATTATCAAAAATGATACTACCTCCAGGATCTTCATGTCATGGGTCCTGTACTCTGCCTGCCATGTCCCATCCTTCTAATTCCCTAACTCCAGAGTTCCCATTTCATTAGCTCAGTTGGGGCTGCCCACACACAATAGTCTTACCACCTTTCGCTGCCTGTCCTCCCTCCTGTGGCCTCACTTCCTTCTTTATCCTCAAGTCCCTTGGCCTGTCATTATAACCACTTCCTTGCACGCACTCTTCACTTTCCTTCCATACCTCACTCCCTGTCTCTCCATCCCTGTTTCTGAGCAGAACGTGGCTTCTCAAGCTGCTCTCCTTGGGTTGTCACCTTTCATGAGACAGCATTATCAGTCACAAAAACCAGCCCCACATCTAACCCATCAGAGAACCCAAAGTTTCTCATCTGGCCACTTGTCACCTCCCTTACCCTTATTCTACCCAGATGGCCACCAATTCTCACAGGAATCCTGTTACAGTCTCCAAACTGGGTTCCATTCTCAGCTTGCCCCTACTCCCTATTAGCCATGGCCACCCTTTATAAGGAAATCAGATCAGGAGGTACCCTGCTCAAGGTCCTCCAGTGGCTTTCCCACACACTCACAGCAGATCATGCTTCTAGCCAACAAGGCATACCTGACATGACTGCTCATGTCTCCAGTGTCACCTCATACTACTCCACCCTGACCTTCCTTCCATTCCTCAAAAACACCCAGCTTGTCCTGACCTCTGTGCCTTTGCAACCATTCTTTAACAGTAGTCTCGTGTGTGTATGTGTACTTGTGTGCGCATATTGCTCCTTTAATCTGTCTAGCTGTCACTTCAGAGAGGTCTTCCCTGACTTCCCATATTTTATTTTTTATTTTTGGTGGTACTAGGGATGGAACCCAGGACCTTTGAATGGCGACATGCCCAGGACCTCTGAATGGCTACATGCCCAGCCCCTTTATATTTTGACACAATCTCACTAAGTTACTGGGCATGGGCTCAAATTTACAATCTTCTTGCCTCACCCTCCCAGAGAGAATTACAGGCATGTGCCACTATGCCCAGCTCCAGTTGATCTGTGTGTGTGTGTGGCCAGCTCAGCCCACAAGGGGGCGAGGCTGGCTGGCATGTGGTGCTGGGGGATTGAACTGCAGTCCCTGTGCTTTGCTAAGCTTGTTCTAAGTATGTGCTTTAGACCACTGAGCCATCTCACCAGCCCTCCAGTTGATCTTTCATTTTTTAATTTTTTTTAATATTTTATTTATTTATTTATTTTTACATTTATTTATTGTGTGTGTGGCCAGCTCAGCCCACCTGGGGGCGGGGCTGGCTGGTATGTGGTGCTGGGGAATCGAACCGTGGTCCCTGTGCTTTGCCAAGCTTGTTCCAAGTAGGTGCTTTAGACCACTGAGCCATCTCTGCAGCCCCAGTTGATCTTTCATTGTGCTTTTTCTCCCTTGTACTTGCAATTCTAAGACAACGTGTTACGTGTTTACTCTGTATCAGTCTCCCTATGCCAAGAACATAAATACCATATATTTGACCTGTTCTCTTGTGTTCCTACACATAAAGGGCCCTGAATAAACATTTGTTGAATGAACATCCATTGCCTTGACCACAGAGGGGCAGCAATTCAGTTTGCACAGCTACAAGCATTACCCATGGGGACAGGAGTTTTAGAAATGAGAAAGCCAAGGCCCAAAGATGTGACTTGCTTCAGGCAATATTGCAAGGCCTTCTGCTTCTCCACTCTGTTTCTACAAGTAGCAGCTGAAGTCCTTCCAACCAATGGTCCCTCCACTATTTCCCCAAAGACTTCCCCTCAGTTCCATCTGCCACCAGGCAATCCATCTACCCCTTCCAGAAATCCTTTCCAAACCCTTCCTCCCACAAGCTAGAATTACTCTTATACTTCACAGGCCCAAATGCAAAGTTACAGAATTGAATGGACTACATGGAAGCTTTGATCTCCATGCACCCAGCCACTGAGAGAACTGAACCTAGCTTCTGATGTAACAGAACAAAGATCTAGAAGGTGAGAGAGCCAGGGATATAGCTCAGTGGCATAAGAGGCTATCTAGAATGTGAGAGAGCAGTTCAACTGGTGCTGGGTTGTGCGCAGTTTTGTAACAGTCTTGCCCTGGGTGTGATTTCTTTGCTGGCTGGAGGGCTAGGGGGACTGTACTAAAGATATCATCTAATCTAGGGCTGGGGGTATAGTTTAGAGGGAGCTTGAGGATCTGTTTGACACCCGAGGCAGGACAGGGGTGGTGGTGGTGGATATTATCTCAAGTGGAAAAGGTGAGGAGGACAAGACTCACCTTCCTCCAAGCAAAGGAGGTATGTTTAAGGTGGGGGTGGGATGGGGGTGGGGTATCCAGGGAAGACACTTGAGGCAAAGTACAATCCAAAGTAAGCAGCAGGCCTGCCATCACCCCCTTCAGATTTCACCTCTTCTATCACTCAGGCCCTGGTGGGTACTTTTTAAAGTTTTCCACTCACGTCACTTCCTCACCCTAACCACCAAAGCATAAAGAGGTGGCTTCCTCTTCTTTCGTCAATGAATCACCCCTCTCCCTCCAGCCTCTCAACTTTAGGAACCGTGTATGAGTTACTTCCCTGCTCTGGGCCTTTGTTTCCAGGCTTGGTCTGATGAATGAGAGACACACATTTAAGTATGTTAGCATTTGCTAAGTTCCTACCCATCACACAAGCTGATGATCACACTATCCAACTTTATTTTTTATCATCACTACTGTTGACTAGTAGGACCAACCGGAAGCTTGGAATGCACTGGATTACTGAACTTCTTGTGGCCCCAGCACCCTGTGAGGTGTTTATGTTCCAGGCCAGCCTGAGTCAGTAAAGTCCCCTGTGAGGGCACAGGTGCACAGCAGGGCTGAACTCCAGGGTGGAGTTGGGAGAAAGAAGCCAGTTCCTCCAAGCACAGAGAAATTCCCAGGGCCTAGGCTAAGGTGGAGGGTGGAGCGAAGTTCCTAGGTGACTTGACCCTCCAAACTGGGAGTGGGGGTGACAGGAAAGGAACCTGGAGCCAAGCTGGGAGTGGAGGTGAGAAGCTTGGAGAAAAGTTTTCTCCCATTGCCTCCCCCCTCCCTCTGTTATTCAGATGAAACCAGCTCGCAGAGTTCTGTCAAGGCCAATTCTGGAAGGGAACTGGATCGCCTCACCTGACAGCCCAGGATAGGGGAAGAAGCAGATCTGGGTGGAAAGGTGAAGAGGGACAGGTATGTATGTGTGTGTCTTCCACCCACCCTCTTCCTCTCCTCTTGCCTCTCTGGAGCTGAGTCTCTCTGTTCCAAGCCACCTGTAGCCCAGGTTGACCTGAAACTCCCAATCCTCCTGCCATTGCCTCCCAGCAAGCCAGGTCACCAACGTGCGGCACCACAACCCGCTGGGACCCGGCTTTATCAGAGGTCACCTATAAGAAACGCGAGCTGCTCTTCCTGTCCCCAAACTACAAATGAAGACATGGAGGTTCAGGGAGTGACTGTGACTCACAGGGGAGGCGGGGAAGTGAGGGACTCGAACTTGGGTCCACTGAATCTGTCCGCCACACCTTTCACCGCCTGGTGCCCGGCACCCTCATCCCTGCCGCCCGCGCTCCCACCCCCGCCCGCTCACCCGCAGCTCCTCCGCGTGCTCGTCGGCCCGGCGGACGCGGTGTCCCCGGCAGTGGCCGCCCGGGCCCGCGCAGGCGGCGCACACGGGTCGCCGCTCCGAGCTGCAGAACCAGCCAAGAGCCTGGCTGTGCTCCGGGCACATCGCGCCCGGCTCGGCCCCCGGCCCCGGCCCCAGTTCTGGCTGCGGCCCCGCGCCCTCCGCGGCCATTGCCGAGCACCCGGCGCCGCGCGCTCCACCTGTCGCAGGTGCGGCGGGGGCGGGTCAGAGTGGGCGTGGCCTCGCTGCTCCCGCCCACCCAGCAACGGCTCCCGCCCTGCCCCCACCTGCCCGACCCCGCCCTGACCCCACCGGCTTGACCAGTCTTCTTTGATGAGTTGAAATCACATTGTAAGGTTGTTTTTAAATATATAACGACGCTAGAACACCAAACATTAATGTGACCATAGGAAACTTTATTGAGTACTTTTAAGTGCCAGGTTTTGGCAGTACATGGTGGTGTGCACTCTAATCTCAATTATGTGGGAAGCTGAGGCAGGAGGTTCACGTATTTGAAGCTCGCCAAGGAATCAAGGCACACACTGTCTCAAAATATATTTTTGTGTGTGTGCAGGGTCTCACTACACAGCTCAGACTCGCAGTGATTCTCCTGATTTTTGCCTCCCTAGTGCTGGGTTTACAGGCGCATGCCACCACACCCGGACTCCATCGCCTCCATTGCCTCCATCGCCTCCTTCGCCTCCATCGCCTCCATCGCTGGCTCAGCGTGCCCAGGGGCGGGTCCGGCGCGACATGCAGAGCCAGGGATCGAACCCTAACGCCTGTGCTCATGTAAGCGAGCTCTTAGTCCGCTGAGCTATACCGCCAGTCCAATATAAATTTTTAAAAAGCTGGGAATGTAGCTGGGGGGGGGATTCGTTCCCAGGTTTTGCCAAACATTTAGCATTTTGTCATCTTCACAACAGCTCTTGTGAGAGGTAACTTGGACAAGTAGCTTAAAAGGGAGGTTCTGACATCAGACTGCCCGGTTTAAATCTCTTATAGCTGCTCTATGGCCTCGACTGTAAAAGAAGAATGACAGCACTTGCTTAATTGACCTGGATTTGAGGAGTTATGAATTAAAAGTACATAAGAGAGCACAATACCTGGCACACAGACATCAGCTGCAGTATCATCTGCTAAGAGTACATGGGAAGATTCCAGTTAGGGGAAGTTAAGTGACTTACTGAGGCTGACACCACTAATAAATGGAAATGTGAGACGTTGAAGCAGTGACTTAAGGTTACTATGATTTTATTTATTTTTAATGCTGGGGTTCCAGCCTAGGGCCTCTTGCATACAAGGTAAGCACTGTACCCTGTGCTACAGTCTGAGCCCTTACTGATAAATTTTAAAGGTGCAGATTGAAGCTAGTTTTCCAAATTATAGTATTTGCACCCAAAATTTCTGAATTTGAATGTTTCAGGTTTTGGGGGGGGTTTGTTTTGTTTTTTTTTACTAAGCACTGTGGAAAAATAATGCAGGCTTATTGTGGAAAAAAAGTTGAATTGTTAATAAAAACATGGGAAAAATCCTACTCTATCTAGAAAGAATGGCTAATATGGACCTGAGCCAGTTCATGGAATTCCCCCCAGATCCTCTTATGCCGAGATTGAAACCTGGTCTGGGCCTTCAAGGAGGGCAGTGTTCCTGAAGCCCAAACTTTTCCCTCAAAGGTCCTGGCAGATAGCTGAGCAAACTCTGCCAAAGGAGCCGGGGCCCCTGGCCTATTTGGGTGGACTCTAGGTGCAGCACATTGGGAACAGGTGGCAGCAAAATCTGGGGAAAAGAACCCTTACCTCTCTGAGACTCCTGGCGACTCAGGCTCTTCTCACCTGAGGCTCCTCTAAGCTACCATTAAGTAAAGCCAACAGAACCCTTCCCCTTGAAGGCCCTAGGCTTTAGCCCCAAGGAATTAAGGACAGCTAACAGCCTGGAAACCACCCAGAGCGTGCTGAGTGGTGTTGTCTTTTAGCATTGACACTTTGCCATCCTACATAGACAAATATGGCCAGACAGAGTAGAATGGGGTGTGCTATAGGTTTCATCACTTATGGTACCACTTAGAGTTATAGGACTTTAGTCAGGTTACTTGTTTCTCCTAGTGTCGGTTTCCCCATCTTGCCATTGTGGTGGTGCATGCCTGCAATGTCCACACTTGGGAGGTTGAAGCAGGAGGATTACTCCCGAGTTCAAGGCCAGCCCGGATGACGTATGAGCTCATGGCCAGCTTGAACTGCATAGCAAGGTCCTGCATCAAGCAACAACTACAAAAAGTCAATGTCCTGATCTCTGCGTTGGGAGTGGTAATAGTATTACCCAGTTTAGGACGCTGGATCATGAAGGAATTGAGATCTTATTTGCAAAATGCTTGCCTTGCCATATACTTGTGAATAATAAATGATTTTATTGTACATGTTAGGATCTATAAATATACTTGTGGCAGGTCTGAGAATATAAATTGTGTGAGGTTCTTTAGAGAGGCCCTAAAAAGTGATCCTGGTATCAAAAGAAGATTTTTAGCTCATCCCAGTGGGAAGGTGATGGCCTCAGAACAGCATCTGCCTTCCTCTGGGGTTGGGAGTGGAAATGGGCCATGGTGATGAGAGATTACTTTGAATTTCTTTTTCCCCCTAAGGAAGAGAAAGCTATCAGGGACAGGAGGAGGAAAAGGGGTAAGGTCCCTGGAAGAAGCTGGGCCCCTTTCTTGGGTGTGGCCCTGGAGCAGGCAGTGGCCCTCAGAGGGCTGGGTCTGGAAAGTCACAGTGAAAACACCCAACATGTTCCCAGGCAGAGGGACTAGGAAATTGAGAGAGATGTGATGGGAATGGATTTGCTTTTAGAAAGTTGGCTTTATCTGTTCCGTTGCTCTGGTGCTAAGGTAAACTGGAGCTGGAGAATCGGCCCCTTCCTGAAACAAGCAGCACCCTGTGCAGGGCAGGTGTCCTCAGCAGGCCCAGGATAACTCCCAGGCTGAGCCTTTCAAGCTCACCTGGCTTCAGAGTCATGGGGGGATGGGGCACAGGAGATGGAGGTGCGAAATGGAGGGCTTCTAGTAAGGTTTTCATTCATTACATCTGGAGTGGAAGGAGGACAAGTGGTACATGCCTGTAATTTTAGTACTTGGGAGGCTGAGGCACGAGGATCACTGTAAGACTGAGGCCAGCTTGGGCTACATAGTAAGTTCAAGGCCGGCATGAACTTCATACTGAGACCCTGCCCCAAAAGACAAAAATAGGTTGCTTCAACAAAGCAGTCAGGCTCAGGTTGCTGTGGTTCGATCCCCACAACACAAGCCAGCCAGTCATGCCTTGAAGGCATTCTGAGCAAAAAAAA